ATTAAAATCAAAACTTTTTGAAAATTTCATCTTTATGCATTACTTAGTTTTAAAATTCATATCTTAATGTATTTATTGTGTATTCCCTGATCAACTATTAATATTAATATTTAAAATAATGAATCTTGAAGAAGTTTAAGATTTTATCTTATGCTAAAATGAGACCATATGCTAAAAACCATAAATAATAAATCATGAAATGAAGTCCTTAATTGGGAAGATTTGTTTGTAATCGAAGCGCTAATTTTAGAGAAATCACTTCAAATGTGATCTCGATGGATGCTCTAAATCTTTTTCAAGACCAAGTAAATTAGATTTGCATAAGAAAACGAAGCACTACTTAGAAATTTTGTATTAATGCCCGCATTAAAGTTGCATGAAGATATTTGCAGAAAAGGCCAACTTAGTTGTGCATGAAAGATGTCATACTGGAGAGAAACCATTTAAATGTTCAAAATGTGAAATGAGATTTTCATCAATAGGGAATTGTAAAGATCACGAATGACGCCACGTAAATGATAGGTATGTATTCTCTAATAACTAATAATTTTTATTATAAATATTTTAGCAAATAATCATAATTTTGCTCTAAAAAAACTCTTTAATTCATTTTATATAGACAATACATTTGCCGAATTTGCAACGCTTCTTACTACAGAAATTACTAATTAGTCAAACATATTTCAAAAAAGCATACTAACTCACCAGAAAAAGAAAGCTCGATTAGATTAAATTCAGACTAGGTTCATTAAAGGAAAAATGTTATCCTGGGTTTTGAAAAATTCTAAGAGGGTGCTTAATAGATTAACAATGAAATATTATCTGAGTAGGTTAGTGAAACACATAATGTATATCAATCCTAAAATTTAAAGCATTATTAAAAAGACAACAAATATGCTTTCTTTAAATCACATTCCATATGCATTAAGGATCTACCTCAAATTATTTAATAAAATTTCAAGACTCAATCCATGAATTAGTCAGATATGACAAACACATCTGAAGAGAAGGATTATAGTCCTTCAAATTTTTTAGCTATATAGTGTGATCAATAAATAGATGAGAGTAACTCAGATTATTCATTTGGCAAATTCTTATTCGATTCTTCTAGCATTTAATAAAGCTCAGCTTAAGATGATAATGATTTTATCGATGATCAATATTTCTCATATAGTAGAGAATTTAGCAAACAGTCTTTCTCATGAAAAAGTTTTTTAATTAGCTTCTTATCTAAGATTAATCCATAGTTATAAACTTCTGAATTTTTGAAATATATTACTGCATTGCAATAGGAAATGTTAAATTCCTCTATGATAATTTTCTGTTTTC